CTCCGGTGGAATAGGGAATTAATGAATAAACACTAAATAGTATATATCAGGGAGGGTCTCCCTCTTTATTGAACTGTCATTAGATTCAGGAGACAAATGAATGCATCCAGAAGGATTTAATTTGATTTAGGAGGCAGAAGGCAGTCTCTGGCACAATCCACTAGAATAGAAAAACACTAACACAAACACACAAACACACAAACACACACACACACACACACACACACACACACACACACACACACACACACACACACACACACACAGAGAGAGAGAGACACAGACACACACACAGACACAGACAGACAAACACACACACAGACAAACACACATCCACCGCCATCCCCTCCCCCCAATCAAGTCATGCCTAGAGGAAAGTCTGGCACCCCGCCCCCATCCCAAAGAGCTGTCTTCAGCCATCATACACAAACACACACACACAGAAATGGGTCCCCCAGTGAATTGTGCGTGGCCTCCTTGCTTTGGATACAGTGTTGCCATGGTAGCCACGTTTTCGCCACATGGCAAATCATAGAGAGGAGCCACTCCTATTGATGTAGGGTTAGGGAATCAGAGAGAGGAGAGAGGAGCCACTCCTATTGATTTAGGGTTAGGGAATCAGAGAGAGGATAGAGGAGCCACTCCTATTGATGTAGGGTTAGGGAATCGGAGAGAGTATAGAGGAGCCACTCCTATTGATGTAGGGTTAGGGAATCAGAGAGAGGAGCCACTCCTATTGATGTAGGGTTAGGGAATCAGAGAGAGGAGCCACTCCTATTGATGTAGGGTTAGGGAATCAGAGAGAGGAGACACTCCTATTGATGTAGGGCATAATACTGGATTCAGCTTAACACAGACATGTACTGGCACACAAAGAACCCCCCTATTCTCCTCTAAGAGGAGGAAATCATTTGTGGATCCAGTTGTTCTTCATTTAATACATCCAGTTGGGCTGTGATGATAGCATGGTCCCAGAGCTGTTTGAGGTATCATTCCTTAACCTCTTAAGGATCTGACCCTTTTTTTTCAATTCTCGCCTAAAATAACATACCCAAATCTAACTGCCTGTAGCTCAGGACCTGAAGCAAGGATATGCATATTCTTGATACCATTTGAAAGGAAACACCTTGAAGTTTGTGGAAATGTGGAATTAATGTAGCAGTCTTTGTGCAAAGTTTCAGATTGATCCAGTGAAGCATTGCAATACTGGACTATTTTGTATCAAGTCTGCCCAAATGTGCCGAATAATTTCCAAGTAAAGAACATACAAAAATATACAAAATAATGTATCTTTGGTCTATCTGTGTTTCAGAAATGTCCTTCAATTCGCAGGAGGCGCAAGAGGCGGAGAAAGCATCCGAGTGAATGAAACAGCGCCCCCTCTGTCTCAGGATGTGTAGCCCAACTATCTGATGCTGTCTGGTCAAAAAGAGCATGACACTGTTGCCCCCCCCCCCCCCCCCATGCAGATCTCCTCTAGAGCAGTGATGTTTTGGGGCTGTCGCTGGGCAACACGGACTTTCAACTCCCTCCAAAGATTTTCTATGGGGTTGAGATCTGGAGACTGGCTAGGCCACTCCAGGACCTTGAAATGCTTCTTACGAAGCCACTCCTTCGTTGCCCGGGCGGTGTGTTTGGGATCATTGTCATGCTGAAAGACCCAGCCACGTTTCATCTTCAATGCCCTTGCTGATGGAAGGAGGTTTTCACTCAAAATCTCACGATACATGGCCCCATTCATTCTTTCCTTTACACGGATCAGTCGTCCTGGTCCCTTTGCAGAAAAACAGCCCCAAAGCATGATGTTTCCACCCCCATGCTTCACAGTAGGTATGGTGTTCTTTGGATGCAACTCAGCATTCTTTGTCCTCCAAACACGACGAGTTGAGTTTTTACCAAAAAGTTCTATTTTGGTTTCATCTGACCATATGACATTCTCCCAATCCTCTTCTGGATCATCCAAATGCACTCTAGCAAACTTCAGACGGGCCTGGACATGTACTGGCTTAAGGAGGGGGACACGTCTAGCACTGCAGGATTTGAGTCCCTGGCGGCGTAGTGTGTTACTGATGGTAGGCTTTGTTACTTTGGTCCCAGCTCTCTGCAGGTCATTCACTAGGTCCCCCCGTGTGGTTCTGGGATTTTTGCTCACCGTTCTTGTGATCATTTTGACCCCACAGGGTGAGATCTTGCATGGAGCCCCAGATCGAGGGAGATTATCAGTGGTCTTGTATGTCTTCCATTTCCTAATAATTGCTCCCACAGTTGATTTCTTCAAACCAAGCTGCTTACCTATTGCAGATTCAGTCTTCCCAGCCTGGTGCAGGTCTACAATTTTGTTTCTGGTGTCCTTTGACAGCTCTTTGGTCTTGGCCATAGTGGAGTTTGGAGTGTGACTGTTTGAGGTTGTGGACAGGTGTATTTTATACTGATAACAAGTTCAAACAGGTGCCATTAATACAGGTAACGAGTGGAGGACCGAGGAGCCTCTTAAAGAAGAAGTTACAGGTCTGTGAGAGCCAGAAATCTTGCTTGTTTGTAGGTGACCAAATACTTATTTTCCACCATAATTTGCAAATAAATTCATAAAAAATCCTACAATGTGATTTTCTGGATTTTTTTTTCTCAATTTGTCTGTCATAGTTGACGTGTACCTATGATGAAAATTACAGGCCTCTCTCATCTTTTTAAGTGGGAGAACTTGCACAATTGGTGGCTGACTAAATACTTTTTTTCCCCACTGTAGGTTGTAACATTGCTTTTTCTCCCCTGGCTTGTCTTCCCCATTGATTATACCCACGCACTGTCACTGCCACCAAATCAACACAATGAGGACAGAGACAGAAAGATTCAGTTCCAGCTGATTTTATTTCCTTCTTGAAAAAAACAAAACAAAACAAACAAACAAAACAAACAAATAAACATTTTCTGTACAGAGGTCTGTGGCAGTCATTGACCCAATTGGCTGGCGTTGAGTTCTATATTCAAATGAGTTATGGTATGATTGGAGGAAACATGATCATACACAAAGCATATTGCACAAATGAAAAAAAAGAAAGAAATATATGGTATAAAGATGGAAAATCCTGGACCAATCATCTTCAACATCAGAATGTCGAAAGATGGCAATTTTAGTGCCTGTCGTTGATCATTACACATAAACACAATCTTATCCGCCTTATAATACAGTCAATAAACATAAATATCTTCAATTCATATTATTATTTTTTTTTAAATCTTAAACACAACAGCTATACATATACCTGAATCTGAAATAGAAAAAACGCTAATTTGCCATGCCATAATATAAGGAAAACAATTTGCTAGTAAGTAAGCCAACAGGTAGAAAAAACGATTAAATACTCGTATTATGCAATTGCACAATGATAGACAATCGAAGCACTCCCTCCACCTCCCTTTGACTCAAATAGGCATTTAGAATGAGTGAGTGTCACATTCCATCCAGTGGTTTCAAATCAAACTTTATCACCATAAAAATCATTCAGACGTTTTTCTCTCAATCCAACAGCATCTCTCTCTCTCTTTAACAATTCTGATATAGCCTGGGTACCAGTCTGTGTGTGCCATCATGCCACTCCTTTGCAAGGTCTTAACACGATGGCACAAAGAGATTGGGTCCAGGTTATGCGAATCCGCTGGTGAAACACAGTCACTGGGTGTAGATGACACTCCGGTGTAGTAGCGTGTCAGTTTGTTTACTCCGCTGGTGAAATATAGACACTGTGCCTTTAAGAAGCATGTGGCGTGACACTATCAAGCATAAACAGGGAGCAGATTGTGTGACAATGGATCCCCTGGCTTTGAAGATAGGGAATACAACCAAAAACCCACTGGCATCCCCTCCATAGATCTTGTACAAAAATACACGTATAGAAAATGACACACTGAGTTCTCCTTTAAAAAGTGAGAGATATCAACATTCAAATAAGATACACTTCTAGCCCTCCTGCACACGGATGCAGACAGGTGCATGGTTTACAAACAAGCAAGACCTATTATACCATAACAATACTTCAAAGTATAAAAAAAACATGTTCGGCTGGTATAAATACATCGATATAAAAAACGTACTCTGATATAGAATAACTACAAAGTCAGAAGCACTAGGAGTTGCGCAGTAAGGTAATTGGTCCTGAAATGTGCATCGAGAGTGTAAAAGTTTTCAGACAAAAGATTCTGAGTTTTGAGTTGTTAATTAAAAGTCCTGCCGTTGAAAGGAAAGCTGGCGATTGTGAACTGTGTTCTGTGGTTACACACACACATAAACTCAGCGCCGTAATCACATTGTAATAAACATGATTATTTCAGATTCATCACTAAATTGAACAATTCTCCACAGGGAGCCAGCTGTTATCATTATTATTCTAAGCTTCAGAAAAACAAACCTGAATATTAACTCCATAAACCCCATCCACACAGTCGGGTAAATAACCGGAGTGGGTCACTTATAAAACGTTCGAAACCCTGGCAACGTCAAGCTCTCCAAAAGGCCCTTTATGCACACAGTCATAATCACCATCAGCCCGCAAACGTCCTTCCGCGGCCCGGTTGAATGCTTCAGTTCAGTAGGTCCGTCTGTGTGTCACTGCTAACAGAGGCGGGCTTAAGAAAGTATTTCTCTCTGCTGTCTCCAAATGCAATCTAAGCACTTTATTTCCCTCTGCTCTGTATACTAGGCAGCAATGCGCCCATGACTGTCCCAATTAGTGTCTTTGATCCATGTCAATACGCACAAGATGGAACATATGATGTTTTTATACACACACCATGCCTGAATAACCTAAACACATGTAGTTCAAATTAGGCTGTTCTTTCCGAAACGCAAGTGGACATTTCAGTGCACATTTCAATCCCCAATAATCTGAAAGAATGTCTAAAGATTATTTCGCACTCGCGGGGGTTTAGTTTTGCGCTGGGAAGGGGTTATCTTTCCCTTGTTTTCTCTGTGAGTTTTCTTTTTTACTCCTCCTCTCTGCTGCTCAGCAGGTGAAGACCAGGTTGGAGATGGTGGACTCCAGCCAGTCTCCCGAGATCATCTCGCTGACCTCGGGGGTGCAGTAGTCAGGGAAGTCGAAGTGAGATCCCGCACCGCACTCCCCGAAGCTCCAGTCCAGATCCCTGTCCAGCTCCGACACACACTGCCCCATGCTGCCCAGAGACATGCTCTCAAACCCGGGGCTCGGCTGTAGCTCGAACCGCTCATCCTCCGGCTCCTCATCTGAGGAAGAAGAGAGGGAGGAGGAAGAGGAGTGAGAGGTGGACGGGGTTGGAGAGGACGCACGTGTGTACCTGAGGCGGGCCTTTGACGACGACGATGATGAAGGGTTAGTGGAGCGCACTTTGCTCGTCCCCGTCACCTGGTCATCGTACAGGCTCATTGGGTCACTGGACTCAGCCGAGCTGCTCAGGGCGGGACTGCCCGGGACTCCCACAGAGGGTGGCCCACTGTCCAAGCTCCCTCCCCCGCCAAACATGTGGTCGCGCCTCGTTTGCTTGTCTGGTATCTGTCGGGCGCCAGTCACTGACCTGGATTTGTAGAGCGTGTGGTGATCCGCGGGAGACCCACACTCCGGCCCCTGGGTAGCCAGCTTGGCGCTCCCCTGTCCCGGCTTGTGCGCTCTGCTGGCCCCCATAGACCCAGAGCTTCTTTTCAAGGAGGACTTAGAACCCCCGCTCCTATCCACGCCTTTCTGTCCTCTCTCTCCCCGCTCTGTCTTGGTACTGGGCGTCTTAACCTTCTTCCGTGGCCGGTACTTGTAGTCGGGGTAGTCGGCCATGTGCTTGAGCCTCAGCCGCTCTGCTTCCCGGATGAAGGGGATCTTGTCCATGTCTTTGAGCAGTTTCCAGCGTTTGCCCAGCCTCTTGGAGATCTCGGCGTTGTGCATGTCCGGGCTCTGCTCCATGATCTTTCTCCTCTCGATCTGAGACCAAACCATAAACGCGTTCATCGGTCTCTTTTCCCTTGGATTTTTGTGGTTCTTACACCA